TAAAATCCAACATGAACTGACTTCACGGTCTGTCTGGATAATTATGAAAGTAGAATAGTCCCTTTGTCGGAAGGTTACAAACTATCATGAATGTTTGTAGAACGAATCTGATATGTTTCAAAGAAATAACAGATGGTTAAAAGAAAATCTAAATTTCTTTATTAAGTGCGTTGAATTTTATATAATTTTCTGGACATATAAAAATAGAATTATTATTATTGCTCCTCTAATTAAATACTGGTATCAGCTTTATGTAGCGCTTAAAAAAAGGCAAGTAAGAAAGACGTATTTCATATCATTTTTATTTATTTCCACGATAAAAAGCAAATACTGTTTACAAAATGAAAGAGTACAAAATGAATATTGAAAAATGAACACAGCGTAAATTACATTGTAATTGGAAGTGTAAACGGGGCATCACATGAAGTAAGCTTTAAAGTGAGTGCCCCTCAAATTGGTCTAAATAAGAAAATAAATAAAAAAGAATAAATATGAATAATAAAAAAATAATATTAATATGAACAACATAAATTATGTTAACAACATAAAAATGGATTAAGTACCATTACAAAAAGTATCATTTTCAATTCGACATCTATTTACATTTGTTTCATATTCATCTAAATAAGCTCTTTTACGTTTCCTCTTAAAAATATTAATAAGGTTGCATGTTCTTATCCCTTTTGATATGAAACTCCATATATTTGATCCTTCATTATGAAATACCCCTTTGTCCCAAAATTTGTATTTTTTCTTCTAGATATACAGATTGTTTGTTTGTTTGTTTCTGGCATTGTAGGTATCTAATCATTTTTAAGTGGCACTACACTTTTAGTCATCACAAACGACTCTACTTTTTCATTTTTAGGAAGCACTTTATGTTGTCATTTTTTTTTTTTTTTGGAATGCACTAAGCTTCACACTATAATTTTGATTACTAGCATATCTATTTACAAAGAAAATAATTTATAAACTGATAACTTAAATTTGTGCCCGTTAGATGATACACCATACTCACATATGAAATTAAATAGAATAGTAAACCAATACATCAGGGTTAAATATCTATGACTCTAAAGTCGAATAAAACTCTTCAGAGGTTTTTAGGATTCGCCCTGGATATGGATATGGACTGCCCCTAACTCCACACGCTTATGCTTCTTTCGAGGACATCGCCCTCAATATCTACATCAGATTTATCAAAGGAATGATATAAGGGATAGGCCTATGGTTCAGTTCTACTGTGGGAAGAATATTACCAATGGACACATTTAGCAAAACCATACTAATTATTAACATGAAATAACAATAGAACAGGTGGTGCTAGATCTAATCTACGTATTAGTATAGTTATCAAGACACATTATAAGGCTAGGCCGTTTGCGTGTCAGTATATGAACAAGTATATGGTGATAAAATAGTTATTACAAGAGATAATTATTACCTTTAAATAATATGTTACTGTGTTTTCAGTCACACTATTAGTGTATCAAGCAACTATTGGTTGACGGTGTCTTTTGCCAGAATGTAAGTTTTTAACATTTATTATATATTATTATTGCTATATATAAAAGCTGCATTGGCTCATATAAAAGAAAATCTACCAACCTGGTTGGATTTTATCTTATCAGGGGTTTCAGTCTCGTTGTCATCTGGCCTGCTGCTACCCGGCCACTTGCAACCCGATCATTTGTTGCCCGGCCTTAAGCAAGGCTTTAATTTGCCACCCGGCCTTTTGCCACCTAGACCCGTTGCCATCCTTTTGCCACCATTGGCCTGAAGTTATGACCACCTTGCACTGTAAAAACAGCTAGCGTGGAAGGAGGATTTAAATACAAAGCTCCACGCAATTTGTCCCATTTTTTTTAGTGACACGTTTAAAAGTCAGGCCTAATGAGTTTAGATTTCTGACGTATTAAACATCATGATGTTAGATACCTAAGCACATTTAATGCTAAACACGTTAAGATCCTAAGCACATTAAGCTATGTCCTAAACACGTTTAGCTTTTAAACGTGCCACCAAAAACGGGACAACATTGCATGGAGCTTTGTGTTTCAATCCTCAACGCTGTTTTTACAGCGTACCTTTGCCATCTGGACCCAGATCCAGATGGCAAGGACCCAGATACATTTAATGTTAAACACGTTAAGATCCTAAGCACATTAAGCTATGTCCTAAACACGATTAGCTTTTAAACGCGTTGCTATCATCCGGCTTTATTGTAGGCCTAATTCCGGCTAAATTCAAAACTAGACTAATAAAACATAAGAAAAGTGTTACAGATAACACAAAAGGTGCCATCACCAGAGCTACTCGGGCCATAAAAACAGTGAATGCCACAGACAAAAAGAAAAAAAAAAGACAAAAAGAAGCTATTTGGATGTGGAAACCAGCGGTACGCCAGAAATTTGGTCGACGGGCCGGAATAAAAAAAATCCCTGTTAGGGTCGATGGCCCAGAGTTTTTATGGCTTAATTTGGTCCTAAATGTGATTAGACCACAATATAACGGATTGGCAATCAAAATAGCGTTCTTTGGTTAGGCAAATTATTATTTTTTTAAAAATTTTGGTCCGATTACCTAGTCGTTCGTCGGACTACAGGGGTGTCAGGCCTGTCCGACGGGTGGGAAAATTCACCGGCTGGGGCTGTCGGCACTGCCGCAGTGCGAGAAAAAGCTGCTGTTTTCTCTTGGCACTGCCGCAGTGCCGGCTAAAAAAATGCTGTTTTCTATCGGCACTAACGCAGTGCCAAAAAGGTGCTGTTTTCTATCGCACTGCCACAGTGCAAAAAAAAAAAAAAAAAGCTGTTATTTTCTATTGGCTTTATTGCTGCAGTGCGAAAAAAGCTCCGATTTTCTATCGGCACTGCCGCAATGCCAAAACACTGCATTTTGCTTTCGGCACTGCCACTTGGAAAGCTGCTGTTTAATTAATCAAATCGATTATGGTATCAATAATTAGTTAGGTCAGGCAACAGTGAAATTGGTTAGGTCTAGCCAAGCCTATATTATTGTTAACATTAAATTATATATGCTTTACAATTAATTATAATTTCTAATTATTAAATATATACATAGGCCTATGTCTAGGCCCATACATACAACAAAAAATAAAGCAAAAAAAAAAATTATATATAAAATTGTAGTAGTAGTAATAATAATAATAATAATAATAATAATAGCAGTGCTCGAATAATACTATAATAATGAATAATAATATTTTAATAAAACTTTACTTGACCTTTTTACGATAGTTTGATTAATATAATAAATCAGCTTGCGTCTATGCAAAACCTGCTTTTTTAAATAAAGATGTTATCTATTTTATTCTGTTTTAAAAAATAATCTTATAAATTATAAGTTTATTTTCTATGATAATTCTATCCACATAATTTATGTTTTCAATGTTTGTGTGGTTGATAAATAATATATCGACTCTTCTCCGAGATTCTAAAGAAGATCAAGGTGCTGCACTGGATTATTTCATCCAGTTTTGCAGAGAATCTCATCTAGAGCTCAATGCCAGCAAAACCAAAAAGATGATTGTTGACTTTAGGCGGGAGAAAGTGTATAATCCTCGGAAATCCTTTATTAATAATAAGCCTGTTCATTTTTTTAAATATTTGGGGACAATTTTTGAGGATAATCTTTCTTGGGAACTTAATACAGATACCATTGTCAATATAGGACAGCAGAGACTTTATCTCTTAAGGAAACTAAACTCTTTTAATATTGATAAACATATTCTTAAGATTTTTTTATAACTCATTCATTGAAAATGTCCTCTCTTTCTCCTTTATATACTGGTTTTACAATATTGAGGTTAAAGAGAAAAATTCACTACATAAAATAGTTAACTTAAGTTCTAAAATAATTGGTTGCCAGCTGCGTAGTTTATCTTCTCTTTGTAATAGACAGATTTTAGATAAAAGTAAAACTATCTTAAAAATCAGTAATCATGCAATGTTTAATGATTTTGAGCTTCTACCACATAGGCGTCGTTTCCTGTTTCCGGTTAGTAAAACAAATAGATGTAGAAATTCGTTCCTACATGTTGCCGTTCGACTCCTTAATAATGAGTAGGGCTACTTCTTATAGTTTTTTAAATCAAGATTCTTTTTTTTTCATTGTATATTTTTCTGTGTTTGTATTTTTAATGTCATGTTTTTATGATGCTTGTAATGTCGACCTGATTTGAATTGCCCCATGTGGGATTATTAAAGATTTATTGAATTGAATTGAATTGAATAAAATAATAATAATAATAACAATATTAATAATAATAATAATAATAATAATAACAATAATATTAATAATAATGAAGGTTTTTAATAAAAAGGAATAATAATACTTCAATAGGCCTATTTGTGATAGTGTGATTAATGAGATATTTGTTGATTAATTTATAGAAATATATAATAGGTATATACCATTAATAATGATTCACCATATTAAAGAAACTTACAATAGATGTAAAATCTGGTGATTTTTCAATAAAATGTTACCTATTTTATTCTGTTTCAAAAAATAAATTACATTATGAAGTTTCATTGTAAATTCTATGAGAATTTTATCCACATAATATATGTTTTCAATTACTAAAGTACTTAAGCATTTAAACAATTCAGTGGGCCTAACTCTGGATGCAGATGTAAGACAAAACAAAAACAAGAGCATCGCAAAAGTGTTTTCGTGCGTGTGACGTGTGCAAATGTTAATACTATCACGCGATTACCGCGTATTTTTGGTAAGCAGAGCTCAGGATGGTTCCCACGAGGTGGCGAATATCCGTCGGAATTCCGTATAAATCAACTGAAATTATGTAAATAACTTTCACAAGAACTTTACGAATACCTTTATTAATATATCTTAATTAATATATCCTAATTAACATCTTAAAATAGTTAATTACTAATAATTAATAGATCGATATAATTAGAAATAACTATATATTATAATTGTGAAACAAATATAATATAATTTTAACTATTATATAGACTAAGCTGGACCTAATCAATTATTGATATTAAAGCCAAATATTTAGAACATCATTAATACACCTTCATGACAGTCCAGACCTCCAAATGTTTTAATAACTAACTGAATTCACTTTAATGCAATATTCTGATCTTCATTCATTATTATTATTATCGTTATTAGGCCTATTACTTTTTATTATTATTTATTTATCTATTTATTTCTATTTATTATATAATAATAATAATCTGTATTATTATTATTAATATTATTTTCAATTTATTATTATTTATTTAATATATCTGTATATTAAATAAATAATAATAAATTGAAAATAATATTAATAATTATTTATTTAATATATCTGTATAATAATAATAATTATTATTATTATTTTTATTATTCTTATCATCATCATCATCATCATCAGCATCATCATCATCATCATCATCATCATCATCATCATCATCATCATCATCATCATCATCATTATTATTATTATTATTATTATTATTATTATTATTATTTCGCTTCCATTATCATTATTTCTCTGGTAGGCAGCTTGTATAGGGACATGTTCCCTTTTTTGCCTACCAGTCTCATTACTTTTTGAGTGAAATAAAATTATGAATTATGAATTATACCATCGATAAAAGCATCGATTCGATTAATTAACAGCAGCTTTTCGCACTGTGCCAGTGCCGATAAAAAACAGCAACTTTTTCGCGCTGCGGCAGTGCCGATAGAAAACAGCAGCTTTTTTTCGCACTACAGCAGTGCCTAATCAGCAATTTGAAAACAACTGCGAAAAAATTGCAAGTTGTTCTCGGGTGGGACTCGAACCCACGATCTCCAGACCATTAGCTTGGCATCATACCTTTAGACCACCGAGCTTGCTCCTGATGGCCAGGGTTGAATTCGAGTCCAAGTAAGCAGCGGGTACTGCAGGGTTGACAGTAATTTTTATTGTCGTGATGGAATAATAGACAATAAATAGATTTGCGTCATGAGAAACATGTATAGGTGTAATTTTGCCCTACCTGACGTGGAAATGTACAGAATACTCAGTCAATTTGAAAACAACTGCGAAAAAAATCGCAAGTTTTCCTCTGGTGGGACTCGAACCCACGATCCCCAGATCACTAGCCTGGATCATACCTCTAGACCACCGAGCTTGCGCGTGTCTAATCATTTTCTTATTGTGATGAACAATCCATATAATTATTAAATATTACTAATACTATATACAGTTACCATTGGTTTGATATGTCATGTTGTATTAATGATTTATTATAAAATTAATATTATTATCTTAAAATCAGAGCAGAAACAATGAAGGTTGTATTGGGTTTGGTGGTATTACTCTATGCGTTTTGCATGGCAACAGCTGAGACAGCTGATTGGCATAATGACTACGATCAACCCGTGAACTTTACTTGCCCCAAAGGCCAAGCTATCTACAAGGTAATATCTGTCCACAATGATAAGAAAGAAGACCGGCTTTTTGAATTCTTCTGCAGGTGATTGTAAAATGTTGTATACGTGAAACATCTTAAATACATAACTATTAATCGTTTAAAGGTTTTAAATTTGTAAAGCACAAAATACAAAAACAAAATGTTTTATGCGTTATAAAAACAATGTATGACCATATGTAGGACTATGGAAAAAATAACACAATAAACATGAAAACTATTTATCCAATCCAGCACCAAAAAAAAATACTGGGCATTGAATGAACCCTAGTTAGCACCTGTCGAGGAAAATATGAAAATTTGTTATCTACCAGGGTAACAAACAAAAATGAGTGCATCTAGTGAATTTACATTTTTTAAACCTTTTACGAGAGAAAGTTTAGAATTTAATTAGAAAAGTACTGCAATCTGCAATCGTATTAGGCTCGTACCGTGGGGGGGGGGGGTTAAGGGGGTTACGACGAACCGCCCAAAAACTGGAGAAGGCCCGCATTTAAAAAAACGAAAAATTGATATTAGTAGATATATTCACAATGTTCTCCAGAGTATCGGAGATAAGGGTCCACTACTTTCCACTGAAACAAACCTTCCAAAAATTAAGTAACGCTACGGGCCTGCGTATGAAATATATTTTACCTCGTTACGATGTGTCATAAAAGAGATAATTTAATCAAACTTACGGCAGACAATGCCCAAAAAGTTAAGCACATTTAGGGCTTGGTTGTTTAATAATGTTTCCGTAAAATATTCTAATATGAATTATGTATTATTTATACACAGACCACTTCCAGCAGACTGTTCACAAAGTGTTTGGACGGGATACATTAATGACTTTGACCAACCATTCGCCAGTGACTGCCCTTACAGTGGCATTATTATTGGTGCTTACAGCTACCACGTCGACAAACATGAAGACAGGAGGTGAGTATTATTCTTAAGGATCAGCCTTTTTCAGGTTTCTTTTGTAGAAAAAAATGTAGAGTAGATAAACATTGAAATGATTAAAATCGAATAATTATTTGCAGTGCATAAGCCTATAAAGTAAATAGATCAATATAGTTAAAAGAATGAGTAAATAGATCTTTAAAATCCAAAAATTATTACAATGAAAGTGTTTGTTAAACACAATTACTTATCAGTATCAGTGTTGTATGCTATGCTTAGATTATCTTGATTAATTCACAGTCAGCCCAATCCGATGTGGAAAATCCGTTACAGTACTATATGTCCAATTTAAAAAAAAATGATTTATTACATATGCAGTATTTATTAGGTCTGTGTTTTTTTAGTAATTTTATTTTATCATTTGATTCATTTCGATTTATAATTTTTTTTTTAAATTTCTTTTTGTAGTAACCGAATAACATATAGTTATACATCAAATGTTTGGACAGAATCATTATTATAAAACACCTACACATAACTGATGTTTGACATATGACAATGGCAGTTGTTTCAAACAAAATTTTGAGTAAAATAAATACCGTAATCCCACATTGCTGTATTTTTATTAATCAGGTGGATGTTAAACTGTTGCGAAAGTGAGCATTCGTATACTGTGAACTGTTATACCACACCGTACGCCCATACTTGGGATGGATACCACGAATACTCAGCTCCAAGTGATTACTGGATCCATGGCGTGGCAGGCCAGCACAGCAATAAGAAAGAGTATGTAATAAAATGTTTAAATCATCACAATGTTATCATATTCAAATTAAAATTATTTTCTATTTCCTCACAAAGTTAACTGAACATAATTTTAACTAAAACATAATAACCACCAACATCCTCGCCATGGTCATCAATATTACATAAATAATTGAATAATTTAAATGATTTTTATCATTCGTATTCCATTATTAATTATTTTGGATATTTTGGTTTCTGTTATTTAAATTTTGTTTAATCTGCCAATATCCAGACACTCTGCTTGTTGAATATCACATTGCTGTAATGATACTATTATCTAGTCAATGTCAACTTTTATGACTGGTATTTTTAATTTGTACGGTATATTATATTGTACATATCATAAATAATTGATAATACATAAGCTTATTATTTTATTAATATCATTATTATTATTATTATTTTATTTTAATTATCATTATGATCATCATTATAATTATCTTTATAATGTGAAACATCAATTTTTTTTTTATTGATTTTTCAGAGACAGACTATGGCAGTACAAAGTATGTCAAGTGAGAACAACTTAAATCAATGGCAGACTGATGATTCTGTGCATGTGGTATAACATTTTGAAAGGCAAAAAATATAGCCTATACTATAAATTTACCAACCTAATTTTAATGTAAATTACAGACAACACAAAGAGAACAATATCGTGCTTCTCATGAAATCGTAACTTCGAATAATTGTACGAGTAGGCCTGAGGACTTGGATAAGCTAGAATTTAACTGTCAATTGAGCTAAACTTGTATGGTACCAGTAACAATTATTCAAAAATATATTTGTTAATAGGTATCCGTTATTACCTAGCTTTCGAATTACATGTATGCACTGATAATATCTTTACCTGCAGCTGGTTATTTCAGCCTTGTCTAGTTTCCAGACTTGTATACAGTTTATTAGTTCACCTCTTTGCTTTATGTTATTAAATGCATTACTTAAACTATACTCGATTAGATTGCGTTGTTGGAAAAAAGTTATTTAATAAAAACTGAATAATTTTGAATACTACGGAAGCGCATAAGTGTCATCCTACTTCAGACTTGTCAAGATTAATTATCTTGACAAGTCGACATAATATACATATCATGTCGACATGCATAGATACATTTTCCTGCCATGTTGACCTATCAACGTTTAAAAATTGCCATGGTGAGATACATTATCTTGTCAAGTTGACTTCCAGAAAAACATATGTCGTCATGGCGATATAGATTAAATTTTGCCAAGTCGACATAATAAAAATTATATGTTGTCATGACGATATAGATATATCTTGCCAAGTTGGCTTCACAAAAAGTATATGTCGTCATGGCAAGATAAATTATTTTGCCAAGTTTACGTTCAAAAAAGCACATGTCATCGATGCGAGAGAATATCTTGCCAAGTCGTCATAGTAAAAAGTATATGTTGTCATGGCGAGATAGCTTATTTTGCTAAGTTGACTTCAAAAAAGTACATGTCGTCATGGCAAAATGAATTACTTACTAAACTATTTCTCGAAAGTCGGGAGAAATGCTTTGGTTAGAGTGAATAAGGAACATCGCGCTGAAAACAAACTTAATATGTCGCAGTTCACTATAGTTGAAAGCACCGTGAGGTTGAGATTTAAAGCATCACTTAAAAACATTTATGTTACTTAATATCACGTAATTTGTCTTGTTGACATTTAACAGTATTTTAGCAATTCTTAGTTTAAAATGTCAAGTACGCTCTATCAATATTTTTATGTTCAAGGAAGACGTTTGTTTCGTCGGTATACATCAGTTTTCTTGCAGGCAACCACGATATTATTAACATAGGCCTATATCAAAAATAGCGAATGTCCCACAATATTCATGTCTAGATCC